TTCTTTGTTGTTGTTATTCTTAATCATCCTTCTTTTTCTTGTTCTTCATTGTTCTTCTTCGTTGTTCTTCTATTATTGTACACATCTCTCTAAGCCAACTTTGTTGAGTTAAAAAAAAAGTTTCAGCTTCATAAAGGAGGATCTCTTTAAATGTCATTAGATCAGAACGGTACAGTTTTAAATAACTGTCAGTGAAATGTGCAACCCATTCCCTTGTTCTGTTCTTAATAATATCTGTAACAATATTTATGTCATTATTGTTATATCAGGTGTTGAAACATTTAAAACAAACGTCAGATTGTCAACTATGATGAAAAACTGCTCCATTTCTATCTTCAGTCAGTTAATGCCCTACATTTAGGTGGGAATAAATGTCAATACTTTATTTACCAGATTTATTCACAAAAATAAATATTGGGGGATACATATTCATTTAATCTAGTGGTTCCCAACCATGGTCCCTGAGGAACACCATCCTGCCTGTTTTAGTTGTTCCTCTGCTCCAACGGACTTCTGCCAAACTTAAGGAAATAATTAAACAACTGACTCGGGTGTGTTGGAGCAGATAAACAACTAAAACATGCAGGATGGTGTTCCTCAAGGACCAGAGTTGGGAACCACTGATTTAATCATCCAGTCTTTTATGTAGAGGTTAAGGATTTAATTGTGGAAGTAAAAGTTATCCTGTTTGGACAGAGCATTTTTATTAACTCTTGATTTTCAGTACAAGAAATGGCTGAAAAAACATTTAGAATGCTGTGTACCACTGCAATAAGCTTTAACAAGCAAAAACAAGAAGGATTTTTCAGTCCCACACCACAAACCATCAATCAAACTGGTTAAGTAAAAAAGGGTTGCATGTTTTTCAAGTTTTCCCTGGATCTGCTAAGACGTTCATTAAACAGTTATTAAGAGTTAATCGTTTGGTACATCTGCACGTCAGTTATTTGATACATTTGTTTGGTTTGTTCAGGGAAGAGGTTTTCGCGTTACGAGACAAAGTCTGAGCTAAACAATCCTTGGAACGATGAAGTTAAAGGTTTAAGATCTTTCTCACCCGACCTGAACAGCAGCTGGCGGGCGAGAAGTTCAAGTGAACGACTTCCTGTTTTGTTGCTGGTTAAACTACAGTTTCAGAGCCTGAGTTCCTCTGTGTTTACTCAAGCTGTGCCGACAAACGTGGAAATCTGGAAACGCCTCAGCTCAAGAGCATACCTGACAATCACAGGTGCAGGGCATGATTGGATCTTTTTGTACTCCTAAATTAAAACCTCATTCAGTGACAGCAAAAAAAATACATGACGATGGCATTTAAACCTTCTTTGTGTGCGTATTTTCATGCATCTCGTAAATAAGTGAATTGACTTCCTTTTATCTAGCACTTTAGAAGACGTCCGATGTTAAAGCTGATGGAAAGGCCGCTCTGAGGCCCGTATGTCCAACAGTGGTAAAGCAATCTGGACACCACATTTCACCGTATTCCACTTAAGCAAGGCTAAATTAAAAACCCTTCAATATGAAACAAAGACCCCTTTTTGAATCCCTTGGCTGCACCTAATCCAGCTGAAGGCTCCTCAAAAGATCAAAGTGAGTTTGTGCGGGCCGGGGGAACCGGTGTGCAGTTCTTTCATTTTGAGGGTGTCAAAAGAACACCCTTCAAATAATTACCACGATCTCTACGGCAGTATCTCTTTTATGAAGGCCTCCTGTTCGGGGTAAACTGTTGAAGTTAACACATGTGGCTGAACGAAGACAGTTTAGGGGGTTCAACTCAACTGTCAACAAGTCGACGGAAATACATACCTCTAGAGGTGAGTCACAAAGAAATCTCCGGAACTGTGAAGAAAAGAAAAGCGGAGAGAAAACAGAGAACTGTTAGTGCTTTGGGTCGCCAACTCTTTTGAATAGGCATAAATGAAAACCGTACACGTCTCCTGTTCTGTGCTATATGGTTTATCTCTTCCGTTTTCTCCTGGCTTAGGCGTCACACAGCCCTCCATTCACCGAGGGCATTAAAAGGAAGACGTTATTTACTCAAATGAAAACATTTACCCCCCCCTCGACTGAGGCTTGTACTCTGGCAGCAGAGTCCATGTCAAGTCTATCTCTTAACGCACTTAAAAAAAACAACAAAAAAAACAGCGTACATCGTTTTCCACGGGACATTGTGTGTGGAAAACTAAAGCTTTCAGCTATTATCTATACCGTTTCCTGTGTTGCTTTTTTGCTTCATAGCTGAGAACGGTGTGTTTACAGATGTGTCGAACCGCAGGGCAGGACAAAAAAATCATTGTTTAGGGTTAAAACAGCTTAGAAACAAAAATCAGAACGAGTGCACCCTTTTGTTTTGTTTTGTTTAAACAGTTTTTAACAAATTAAGATGTGCTCTATATTTGCAGATGCTTTCAATTTTGGGTCTACTTCGGCTGTTTCTGTAGGTAAACAGGCGGTAGTTAGCATCCAGTCACAAATTAACTT